AAGTGAGGGTTGACTGTACACTATATATATAAATAAACTTAATAATTTTGTATTGCACTCACTGATGGACAGAGGTGGTGGAGCAAGTGTGTGGTGGGTAGTGGAGCAGATGAGGAGGGCAGGAGAGGAGGAGAAGGGTGACGATTCACTGAGACCAGGCGGGTGGCTCCTCCTTCCAGTTTAAAACCTTCATTTTTGTAGCAAGGCAAATGGTATTATGTTGCTTCTTCACAACACTAGCATCAGTAGCACTTAATGGACGCTTGGAAGCCATTTCGAATGGTTAGAGTACAATATTATGAGAAAAAACACTTAAACAGGCACGAACACTGTGGAAGCCTAACAAAGACTGACGACGCTTGGGGACGTTGTGACGTTCCGCGAGTGAGAGGTAGCGCGCCAAGATGAGGGAGGGTGATGCGCCGGAAAAAGTAGTCCGTGACGACGCTAAAGACTACATTATATTGAGTCATCGGGACGTTAACCAAATTATTGGCATCTAAAGAGTAGCGACGTTATAACGAAACAACGTTAAACGAAGACTTACTGTACAGTATTTCATGCACATCTTCGTAATGTGCAATATTTACATTTTCCTCAACAGACAAGTGTAAGTTTAAAGTGTCAGGATGGTGGCAAGCACTTTGTTGTGCTGCCCAGTAGAACATTAAAAACCTTGCCATCCCATCAACATTATGCTTTGAATTTGAACTTGACTTCAGATCTTGAACCTTTACTTTTAAATATTATTTAACTTTCAGTAAACTCAACATAGTTTCTGACAATCTAACATTAATTTCTTATCTCGATGAAACACAATTCAATTCATTGGATCATAATTTGAGATAATATATTTCTTCAGGTTTTGTAATCCCTAGTTTATGGTATAGTAGAACTTCGATTTAAAGCGATTCAATTTAATATTATTGATTTAAAGCGACACCCACAATTAAGGGCAATGTTTTAGTTTAAAGCAAATCTTTCCTAATTTGCGCGAGTCAATCTGGCGAGTAATATTTTAAAATTCGCACCTAATGTTTCTCTGAGCACGTTAAACTGTCGTAAGGGCAAAGCTGTGCTGTACATGTACTCAAAATAATGTACTAAATGATTACTAAAATTTTGTCAAGTGCAAACTATAGCATGATTATATTCAAATTAATCACTATCTTATAATAATTCCAGCAATGTAAATTATATTGTCCCTGGTCACTTCTGTGACATTAACAAAAAACAAAAGCTCAATCAAAAGGACCTAAATAAAAAAATAAATATTTAACTAGACCTTCAGCCCCAACTGTCAAATGTGTCACTGTCAACACCCCTCCCCCCCAACCCCCGTCTTCCCAGCCAGGGTTGGGTGGTTATAGGCTTACAGTTTTTATCTTATATAATATCACAGTCTAAAGTTAGAAGAATATAATTTGCATTGCTAGAATCCTTGCAAGACAGTGAATAATTTGAATATAAACGTCATATATTTTGCAAAAGAGATCAAATTTTTAGCCCTTTGTAATAAAATTAGTTAGAATTAAAATTTGTTTGTCTAATGAGAACTATAGCATGTTTATATTCAAACTAATTTCTATCTTATAAGAATTCCAGCAATATTAATTATATTCTCCCAGGTCAGTTTAGTGACATTTTATAAGAGAAAAACTTAAAAGTCATTCTTAGGGACAGATAAATAAATAAGCACTCGACCTTGGCATCAACTGTCAAACATACCACCACATCTCCCTCCCCCCCATCTTTCCATCAGATGATCGCTAGTAAACAGACCATTTCACGTGTTTGTTTTAACATAATACTACAAAAAACAATGTTTTGTTTATTCTAGGAGATGGGCTGAGGTGCATCTGGGTAGACTCTCAGTCTTTTTAGTATTTTGTGTTTCTCTCAAGTACCATACTAAATTATTCCATTGAAACAACACTTTGATTTAATGCGAATTTGGTTTTAAGTGACCTCTCTTGGAACATATCTCGTGTTATATCGACGTTCTACTGTACCAACTATTTTACTTATTTTGACACGTCTATGTTTGTTATGCTATTACAGGGTATAAGCAAATTTCTTCAAAAGCTGCTCTTGTGCATAAACCTTTACAAATAAAGCAATTAAGGCTAGGAATTCAGATTCTCAACCCTCAGTTGGAGATACCTCAGATTAGTCATTGCACACAGTATTTTATAACACGGATAGATATCTATAGGTATTTTTTCTACATGGATAGACAACACCTCATAGGACTCGGCAGGTGGTAGCCGAGAAATGTATTAGCCCTGGTCTAATACAGTAATAATAGTATAAATATGAGTTAGATACATAAATTTTATATACAATAGGTTCTAAAATTTCGCGAGTTTTTAATTCAACGTTTTTTATTTGGACAAAAAAAAACACTACACAATTTTAAATTTCGAAGCGTTTGAGCGGCCCGCCAACGTTCAGACGTGCACAATCGTGTAAATAGCGTCATTTCTCTTATGTACTAAAGATTCATTATTGTTTAATACCGAATGTCTTTTTGATTGAATTAATGTTTATATGTGCAAAATGAACAATACATTCATTAATAATACGTAGAATATTAAAACACATGAGGAGACGAGACGGCATTGCTTTCGTTAATGTTTACAAAACCAGTGACAGACTGGTTCTACATATAAAACTGAAGGAAATAAGACCCTGGTTGTAGCTGTTGCAAAATTAATGTAAAAAAATCAATATGGTTGTTTTAAGTACTGTAATGTTATTTAATGTTAATAAATGGAACAATAGAAGTAGCTAACCATTAATGGTAAAGAAAAAAGTGAGATCGCATATGTAAGTGAGCACATGCGAAAACATATAATCATTACTCTACATAAGAATATGAAAGCAACACTTATTTACTGTTCATATATATTTTAATTAATGTTTCTGAATTTAAAAAAAATAAATTTACCCACCAGTGGTGGTAAATTTGAAAACATAAGGACAGCCAATGTTGTTGTGCGTGTTTTTACTCGGATGACGAAGTTGCCAAGTCATCAGGTTCAACTCTAGCTGAAGCTGTAGAACAAAAACTTTTCTGTGTTGTTTTTAGTCTTTATTTAACTTTATCTGCATTATTTTCGTTGGTTTAATAGGATGTTGCTTTATTACAGGTAGTAATTTGCCGAAAAGGTAGGGTAAATAGGGCAAAATTTAGCCAAACATCGAAAGTACCAGACTCAAATTAATTTTCTCTGTAGGAAGTTTTATTTAAATTTGGACGATTTGAATTTCGAGAGGTTTTTACAGTCTAAATAGGTATCCAAATATGAGAGCCTACTGTAATTACATCACCCACAGTAATTAAATTATGGGCAGGTGTCTAGTGACATTGATACAGGTCACGTCTATGCCACATAGTCTCAATGTCTTTCAAATGACCTCTGCGCACCGATGCCAAGAGTAGGTCATCAAATAAGTAGCCAGTTTCAGTATCTAACACGGACCAGTTGTGTATTTACTGATGCTCCCCATAATTACTTCCATAATATCCTAAGCTACAGGCTCCTGGTGCAGTTACTGTGATATCACACTTTAATTGTGCATATACTGTATATACATTTTACAATAAATACTGAAAAGATAATTTAGGTTTGAAACTTTACCCAAAAATAAATATTTGAGTACTTTTGCGATTAACCCCAGCTACTAACAGGTAGTAGGTTACATAAGGCATAAAGAGGACATGTTAAGCTTATTTTATGAATTGTGACAACCAAACAGGAAAAACCATGTCAAGAAAATTGTAACAAATATTACACAGTAAAATAACTAGGTTTAAGCTTTTATCAAATACCCTTGCCTCTGGGAGACATACTAAGGACTAGGTAAAAGTGAGTATGTTATATTACAAACTTCTTAAAACATAATACATCGAGACCATTGTCATGAGGTGAGACATCTGAATGAAAAGCAGGTACAGTATGTCTTGGACACCTACTGAATAAGAGGCAGGTACAGTCTGTCTTGGACACCTACTGAATGAGAGTAGGTACAGTCTGTCTTGGACACCTACTGAATAAGAGAGACTGGTACAATCTGTCATGAACACCTACTGAATTAGAGACAGGTAGTCTGTCTTGGACACCTACTGAATGAGTGGCAGGTACAATCTGTCTTACTTGCACACCTACTCAATGAGAAGCAGGTACAGTCTGTCTTTCTTGTACATCTACTGAATGAATCTTCAGAGAGGAAAAATCACAAACATTTAATCATGAAAAAAGAGTAAAACTAATGATTTTTTTTATATCAAATTGAAAATTAATCACCTGTGAAATAAATAATGCAACATTATAAAAGTATCTTACAAGAGTCCCCAGGGGTTTTCAATCTCTTTTTTTCAGTACAACCCTTTCTGATGCTGCCACATGTCCAGCATGGCCCCATTACATTGAGGCAGACACCATTTCATGATTGGTGTGCCCTCTGATCTATGTTGTTGGTTAAAGACATTTTTTCAGATCTTTATTGGACCAGCTTCTTCAGGGTTGAAAGTCGGGGGTTGTTTCTGGAGTTTGTACCTGGTGATTACTCATTCGTACATTGCTCAACAAGTACTCAACACGTACAAAGCTCCAAATGACAACTGCATTCATCTTCAGTGGAAGTTACAAGGTAAACTGAAAAGCTCGGTTTACTGAGCCCTTATTAAAGGGCAAGAGTGTGGTGGTGTCAACAATCAAACCTTTCATCAGGCCGAGCCTGGGGTGATTCAATTGAAACTTCAGGTACCTAATGTTCATCCCATACCTAACCTAACAACACTTCACACTCCACACAATGTTCTCCCCTGATACCTGCATAACCCTTGCAACCCCTAGTGGCCCTTCATGATGAGATTTACAACTCCATTTGGGGTCAAGACCCTAGGTTTGGGAACCCCTGCAAAGTAAACCTCATAAAATGAACAGAGTATAGTAATGCATCTCTCCATCACAAGTAAAACATGATACACTCACCAATTTCTTCTCCATTTTTGCTTTAATATCCCGAGCAAGAGTAAAGAATGCTTCTTCTACATTAATGGAAGCTTTGGCTGATGTTTCCATAAACTTTATCCCATATTCTATGGCCAGTTGCTCTCCTCTTTCTCGTGAGACCTGCAAAGGAAATGAATACAGTTCACTATTAACTCATACTAAAGTAAGAAAGTACTCTAACCTGCCTGACCCAATATGACTGAGAAGGGATGGAAAAGCTTTATTTTGGTGTTTGGGCTATATAATGTACTATAAACAAAGAAAATGGAAAAGTGATCCAGAAATACATTTTTAAAAGTGAGTCAAGAAGAAGCAACTCTATATAACCAGCAAGCTTACAGGACATAACCCCAGATCCCAAGGCCCTAACTTGTGAATGGAACCTAAAAACTGCATCCATACAGGGGTTCCAGAGGACATCTCCTTGGTAAGAAGGCATCCAAGGAAGTGAGAAAGCTTGACTGTTCTTCTGTAAGCATAAGATGGTACTCCAAGCTGTAGATTTGTTGACAACACCTAAACAGCAGTTAAAGCTGATCACCCAACCAAGATCTTTTTTATTGTGCTTAAGCCCACCAGGGCACAGGTCAATAACCCACATCAGGGCCAGGGGGATGAAAAATAATAATAATAATAATAATAATAATAATAATAATAATAATAATAATAATAATAATAATAATAATAAAAATAATTTAATAATGTTTTATATTTACCTTTCATTTTATTTTATTTCTTATTCCTACTTTTTATTTATTTTTTCTTCTTTTTATTATTTATTTTCTTTTACTCCAATTCTCTTTCCTTATTCTTAACCTTTTCTTCTTTGTTTGTTACTCTCTGTATGTCAACTTTGTATTGTAAACTTGCGAGACAGTGTGGTTAGGCTGAGGAGTGTTAAGGAATGTGGTGGGGGGGGAACGAGGGGAGGTTATGGGTATGGTGGGGCCTACAGTAGGCCCTCACACCAGAGGGTAATCTGATATATATATACAGTCAACCCTCACTTTACGAGGTCCCACATTCCGCGTTTCCACGTTTACGCGGTGCCCTGCCAGAACCCAGGATGCTCACATTCCGCGGTGGGTGTACCCCTTTACACGGGTGAAGTATAATTTTTTATTTAGCTCATAAAATTCATACAAATTATCCAGCCAGAATATAATTTACATTGCTGGAATTCTTACAATTTGATGATCATTTTGAATATAAACATCATAGATTTTGCATTAGACATACAAATTTTAGATATAATGTTTACTCTTGAGTAAATATGTTATCTTTTGGGCAAAATATATGATATTTATATTCAAAATATTCCTAGTCTTACAAGGAATCCAGCAATGTCAATTATATTATCCTAACTTTAGTGTGATTTATTATTTATTACTAAAAAGGTAAACAGTCTGGTATTCCCACACATTTATCTAGTAGGGACGTTGGTGGGGGGAGGGAGGGAGGGACCGGCGACCGACCATCTGTTACCGTGTGAATAATATTTTTTTTTTTATTAACGGAAGATTTTTATTTTAGCTCATAAAATTCATACAAATTACCCGGCCAGAATATAATTTGCATTGCTGGAATTCTTACAATTTGATGATCATTTTGAATATAAACATCATATATTTTGCATTAGACATAAAATTTTTAGATAAAATGTTCACTCTGAGTAAGTATGTTATCTTTTGTGCAAAATATATGACGTTTATATTCAAAATATTCCTGGTCTTACAAGGAATCCAGCAATGTCAATTATATTATCCTAACTTTAATCTGAGGTATTATTTAATACAAAATGTTAAAATTTATTTTTTTCACCCACTCTTCTCTTGAAGGGAGGATGGTGGGGGGTGGGGGGGAGGGTTGGGACTGACCACGCGGTTGGAAGAGTGGGGGAGGCAAGGTGGGGTACTTTGATTGACAGATAGTGTTGTAAAGAATATTTTTTTTTTTTATTAACTGAAGATATTTGTTTTAGCTCATAAAATTCATACAAATTACCCGGCCAGAATATAATTTACATTGCTGGAATTCTTACAATTTGATGATCATTTTGAATAAAAACATCATAGATTTTGCATTAAACATACAAATTTTAAATGTAATGTTTAATCTGAGTAAATATGTTATCTTTTGTGAAAAATATATGACATTTATATTCAAAATATTCCTGGTCTTACAAGGAATCCAGCAATGTCAATTATATTATCCTAACTTTAGTTTGAGGTATTATTTATTACTATACCTGGTTTTCCCCCCAAAATTTCTCAGAGGGAAGAGCCAGCAGTGTAGTGTGAGAAGAGGGGGAGGGAGTCGTGTCCATTATTTGAATGGACATTAACTTGGCGACTGTATTTCTCTATTTCTCTTAAGTATTAATTGTGTGCATGTACCATCATAAAATTAAGATGTTATTTTTACTACAACATAGTTATGTGTCGTCAAAAAGTGGAGTTTGGGGATCGGCCTGGACTCCATTTCAATTAATCCCATATGTTACGTTATTCACTTTACGCGTTTCTCGCTTTCCGCGGTACCCTCCGGGTTACATTAACCGCGTTTCCAGTTAATGTAGTCTCCATGTATAATTAGAAAATTATGGGGGCCCCATGTGCATTCAGCTGACTACATTAAAGGTTAAGTGCTCAGTCACACTGTATCCATTCCTTATTATTTATTACTTTCACTGTACTGTATCCATTCATCATTATTCATTACTTTTACTGTACTGTATTTCATTGTAAATTTTTTATTATTATTATTATTTTTTTTTTTTATCTATGTCGGACTTACGACCTGGATTTGGGTCCCTAACCCCGTCGTAAGTCGGGGTCTAGGTGTATGTATATATATATATATATATGCCGATAACCACAAGGAAAGAAGAAATCACGAAGTTCCCAAGCGCTTTCGTGTAATTCACATCTTCAGGGGTGAGTACAGACTAAAGAGAAATACAAACCAAGGTGTATATATACAGAGGAGGGTGAGACCAGGTCCACAATGGTCAGGTATTAGGTAATGACTCTACTAATCTTTTAATAGCACACAACGGTTGGTGGTCAGGTCAGAGGGTAAGGTGACCCAACTTTCTCACCTGGTTACAAATCTTCTTAATTACAAAATTTTCCAGTTTGTACAGGCCATTACTCAAATTCATGTTGAATGCTTCAGTATGTTTAATAAGACTCGATTCTATGATGTTCCTACTATCAATTGAATTACAAGGTAATATAGAGGAGGCATTATCCAAGTCAATGCAATGCTTGTTATCCCTCAAATGAACAAACAGAGCATTGGATTCCTGGCCTGTCCTAACATGTATTTGTGTTGTTTAATTCTAGTTACAAGATCTTTACCTGTCTGGCCTAAGAAAACATATTACATTCCTTGCAAGGAACTTTATAAATGCAACCAATTGTGTTGTTGGGGGAGTTCTTGATTAACATTTGTTTAACAGTGCATGAGTTTTTAAATGCCACTTTGACGTTCCAGGTTTTTAGTTGTGAAGGAATGTGTGAGAAATTTTTGTGAAATGGTAATATTAAGATATTCTTATGGTCATGAGAGGGCTTGGGATCAGTTCTATAAAAAGTTTTCTTAGTAATGTTTAGGCATTTGTCTATGAAAGATCTAGGGTATTTAAGGTTTGAGCCAATATTATAGATATATTTGCATTCCTCATCAATGAATTCCGGACTGCAAATTCTCAAAGCACGTAAAAACATTGTTGAAAATACTGACTGTTTGACTCTATTATGGTGGGCAGAATGATAATGAATGTATGAACACACATTAGTTGGTTTTCTATAAATACTGAACTTAAAAGTGTTACCTATTCTATGTATCAGACAGCCTAGGAATGGCAATTTACAGTCTTGCTCTAATTCCATAGTGAATTTGATCGAGGGGGCCAAGTTGTTAAGTTGTGGCAGGAAAGCTTTTAGGTCCTCATTACATGGCCAGAGACATAATACATCATCAACATATCTAAACCAGACTGCTGAAGGTGGTAAAATATTACTTAATAGTTTCTTTTCAAAGAATTCCATATATAGGTTGCTTAATATAGGTGAGAGTGGATTACCCATTGCCATACCAAATTTTTGAGCATAATGTTCTCCATTGAATTCAAATTTACAATCCTTAATACATAGTTTGATGAGTTCAATGAGGTCGTCTTTCGAGACGGGCAATGAAATATTGTCCAGGGAATCTATGAGGAACTCTAGTAAATCATCAACTGGGACCTTTGTAAAGAGTGATGTTACATCAAAACTGACCAGTTTAAAATCATAATTAATATGTAAGTTATTGAGTTTATCAACCAAATCCATATTATTCTTGATATTAGAGTAAGAAATGTTGCCAACTATGGGATTTAGTAAAGAAACTAATCATTTAGATAATTTATAAGAGATTGACCCAACTGAGCTAATGATGGGTCTTGCTGGGTTATTAGGCTTGTGGGTCTTGATTACACCGTACATGTATGGCAGTGGAGGGGACGTTGAAGTAAGATGTTTAATGAGAGTAGCTTTGCCTCTCAACAGAGACTTCAGTTTTTTGTTGAACTGGGTGTTGACAGTGTTGAGAGGATTATTTATGAGTTTGGAATATGTTGTAGTGTCACATAAAAGGTCATTCATTTTAGAGATATAATCATGTTTGTTTAAAATCACTACTGTGTTGGCTTTATCTGCTTTAGTGACATGTAGATCCTTATTTTTCTTAAGGGATAGGATTGCTTTGGTGAATCTTTCTGGACAGTTTGGAATACAAGGCTTGGACATAGATGCATACACAACACCTTTACACATGTTCACTTCTTCACTTGTCAAATTTCTGAATTTCTCCAAATTGCAAAATGCTCTGGCTATGTCAACACTGTCGACTCCCTTGTTAGAACCATCAAAACTTAAACCATAGCCGAGGGCACACAAGGTATCATTGTCTAGTTGTTTAGAGGAGATTTTCACTACACAGTTGTGATTGGCATCCTTAGTCCAAACACTATTTCTAATAAGGAGTGCCAATTTGTGGTCTATCTTAGCTTGAAGATCAGAACGCTCCCGTCTCAGGTTATCAAAACAGTAATCCAACATGAACTTTTTCCA